TGTTCTGCTCAAGCATATGCGGCTGTTCGCATGCAGCTTCGTTTTCTTGACACGTTTTGCGAATCATCATCGCCATCGTCTTCATCCTCCTCGTAGTTGACATCGCAATATCCATTGCCGAAGCACTTTCTTGATAACACTCATTCTTGAAGGCGGCTTCCCTTGGAGAGATTTGCGTCTCAGCCTCAATGCTCGCATTGCAATCCGTTGCCATCGCTGTAGCCATCGCGGCCGTTATCGTGACTCACGCGTGCCATTTCGCAAATGGGGGGTCTGGAACATTCAGGCCTCTCGTTGAAATGGGGGTCCGGTTCAGCAAAGTGCAACTGAAAGGGGGGTCCGGTTTTGTAAGGCCTTAGGATTTGCTCATCCTTGCGATGCGGGTTGACCGTACAAGTTCTGAGCGTGCCACACCTTAGTGGGCCCTGGAAACGACAGGGCCGTTTGTTACCGGTTCCGTTTTGCCGTTTTTGTACCTGTGCCGACGCCGTTTTTGTTACCGGTTCCGTCGCCGTTTCTTGACCGATTCCGGCTCCGGTTCCAATCCTGGAGCCGTTTTTTGCCGTTTCCGGTCGCCGTTTCTTTGCCGCTTCCATTTTCAAGGGACATTTTTGGGGAAACGGTGAAAAAACGGCCCTGCCGTTTCCGGGGCCCACAAAGTGCCACACCCCGTGGGCACTCGTCGGCGCAAGGTGCCCCGTGAAGGTCGCCGCGCGGCCACGGCGGGCAGCCGCGGCTTCGCCGTCCACTCGCGAAGGCTGCCGGCGCAGAGGGGGCTCCCTTGGCGAGCTCGCTCCGGAAAACATCCTCATCATCAACATCATCATCATCATCATCATCATCATCATCATCATCATCATCATCATCATCATCATCATCGTCACCATCATCAGCCTCACCACCAACAACAACATCCTCATAGGCTTATCTTGCCCCCATCGGACTTCAGGACCACATCCCAGACATAGTTTCGAGCACCCAGAACTGTACTGATCCGGAGCGGCCACGAGGGGGGTGTCCAAGAGGGGGGGTGCAAATCATGACCGGCGGCATGTGCGCGGCCCAGCGGGGGGGCCAGGGACGTAATGAAATGAAAAGAGGCGCCATGGAATCTGGGGAAATATCATGGCCCACGCCATGATATCCACCCCCCCCTAGTCATCACCCCCCTCTTTGCCGCCCCCGAATTGAAGCAGTGTCGAGCGAGTATCGCCTCGCAGGCCAGGGCTGGACACGTGAAAACCCTCCAGCTTCGGTACTCTCTTGGAGGGTTTTCACGTGTGCTCATTTCATTACATCCCTAGCCCCCCCCGCTGGGCCGCGCGCATTTCATTACGTCCCTGGCCCCCCCGCTGGGCCGCGCACATGCCGCCGGTCATGATTTGCACCCCCCCCTCTTGGACACCCCCCTCTTGGCCGCTCCCGATCAATACAGTTCTGGGTGCTCGAAACTCTTTCTGGTGATCCGGCCGGCCGCCGAGCGCGAGCTGCTCCCCGGGAGGGCCGTGGCCGCTCGGCGCGGCGCGGCATCGCCGCGGTGCCAGAAGCCGGCGCGCGGGCCCAGAGACCCCAACGCACTGGCAAGAGAAACCGAGGCGGAGGTTTTTGCCAGCTTTTGGCCTCCACCCTGACCTTCCAGAGAGCTATTTTTTAGCACTGGAGACCTAAAAACCTAAAAAACTAAACGAAACAGCCTAAAACCAAGACGTAGAATAGCTCTGGGATAGGTTTTTAGGTCGGGTGCTATTTTTTAGCCCTCCTGGAAGGTCAGGGCAGGGGGCCCTCGCCGGCCCCCGGGGCCGTCGCAAAACGACTCGGCCCGGACTCCGGATCCGCCCTACTTTTTGGGGAAGCTCGTAAGTATAGGGCTTGGAATGTCCGCCTCACTTTTCAAGCCCGGCTGATGCCAATTTCCGCCCTACTTTTCTGTTGCTGTTTCTGTGGGTTTCCGCCCTATTCTACGTTGGGTGCAGCAATTTCCGCCCTACTTTTTCGGCTCCTTATAGGTGGATTTCCGACGCAATTTTAAACTGGGAGAAAAAGCCAAAATAGGGCGGATCTGGAGTCAGGGGGGGGAAAAACCGGTCCTGGGGAATGGGTCCTTGCCGAGCGCACTTCCAAAAAAAAGCGCGCCAGGCGCACCACCGGCCGACGCACGGCGGCCCCCACGCGACCACGGCGAACTCGTGCAGTGCGGACTTCGGCGCTGGTCTCTGACACCGCGCTGGATCGTTCAACCGTGAACGATCGGCCATTTCCGAAACGTGAGATCGTTCAACATCGACCGATTCTGGGTCGCCAGCGGCGTTCAACGTTGAACGCCGGCGGCGGGGTCGCCGCTGGTCGACACAACGCGAACCTACCGCACTCTGACGGGCAAACGTAGAGGGCAAGGGCAGAAGAAATCACCAGAAAAAACACCCCGACAAGCGGAGCCGCTCTGTGAGCGCACCCAAGGAAGGAATCGAGGAGGGCAGGGTTGCTTGGTGAATGCCCAGGGCCGTTCAGCAAACGCCAAGTATGGGGGGTCGGGTCGGTTTTTCCTTCCTTGAAAATGAGCGCGCAGGTAAGCAACCTCGCGGGCACGCACTGAACCGCGATGCACGCGCAAGCAAGGTCGGCGACAGGGGCGAGGAGACGGAGGAGCAGAAGAGGAAGGACAAGCACATGGGAGGGGGGGGGCGGGAAGGGAGGAGGACGAGGGCCACGGTTGCCAACCGTGTGAGGAAGGGAGGAGGAGCAGGAAGGCTCTCACGCCAGACGGGGCGACGGCGTCAGCGGGCCCCGCCCATTCCCACCAGCGCGGCGCAGCTCGGCACCGCGGCGAGAGCGCCTCCTCACCAGAGCGCGCGGAGGGCGCTCGCGCTCGGCCCCGCCGCCGACGACGCCCCGCAAGAGGGGCGGCAGACGCCGGGCCGCGGACGGGCGAGGGAGCGGAGCTTCAGTGGGACAAAAAAACAAAACACACACACTTTGTGTTGTGCTTGTTTTTTGTTTTTTTGTGCTTTTTTTGTGCTTTTTGTGTCTTTTTTTTTTTTGTGTGTGTGTGTGTGTGTGTGTGTTTTCCCGCGGCGCTGCGGCGGCCGCGCCAACGTGGGCCGCCCTGGGGCCGCCCTGGGGCCGCCCTCGGGCTCCGAGGAGCGCGGCGGCGACGACGCAGACCCGCAGGCGCAGCAGGAAACAGCGCGGAGCGCCTCCCGCCCGCGCGCTCGCGCGGCCCGGCTGCCGCTCCCGCGCGGTCCCGCAGGCGAGACACGCGCCGCGCCGGCGCGGGAGCGCCACTTCCGTGATGGGCCAGTTTTTCAACCACCGCTGCCACAAGTAGGACGGGGCGAGAAGGGAGGATGGGGAGGTCCTCCTCCTCCTCCTCCTCCTCCTCCTCCTCGTCCTTCTCGTCCTCCTCACCCTCCTCCTCCTCCTCCTCCTCCTCCTCCTCCTCCTCCTCCTCCTCGTCCTCCTCCTCCTCCTCCTCCTCCCCCTCCTCCTCCTCCTCCTCCTCCTCCTCCTCCTCCTCCTCCTCCTGGCCTCCCTTACCTATGGTGGTGGTGGTGGTGGGAAATCGGCCCGTCCTCCTGGGCAACATCGGCCCGGGCCAGGGCGACGAGGCGCCCGCTCGTGCGCGGCCAGCCCCCCCCCCAACGTCTCGGGGGGGTCGGGTGCCACACGCTCGCTGCGCCGCGGCGGGGGGCGCCCCGCTCGGGTGGGGCATCTGCACCGCGCCGGGGGCGAAAGCGGCATCTTCTCTCGCCCGCTCGCGCGTCGACCGACGGACGAACCGGCGGGCAGAAGAGACGCCGCGCACTCACGGGGGAAGAGCGCTGCGCGGGCGCCGAGGCGAGGGCGGCACCTGGCCCGGCCCCTGGCCCTCTCCGTGGGTGGTGGTGCTCCCCGTCCTGCTCCCGCAGCGCACGTTCCAGCGTCGGCGGCGAAACGTGCATGCCGGAAGAAAGCACGCCGAGTTTTGCGCGCTCCGCTGTTATTTGCGTATGATGGGACCTCCGGGATGGGGGGGCTGTCCCGTCCTGCTCCCGCAGCGCACTTTCCAGCGTCGACGGCGAAACGTGCATGCCGAAAGACAGCACGTCGAATTTTGCGCGCTCCGTCGCTATTTGCGTATGATGGGCCTCCGGGATGGGGGGGGGGGCTGCCTGCCGGCCACGTGGCTCGGTAGGAATACTTACATGCGAACAGGGGGTAAGGATACGAGAGAGAAGATGGAGGGAGGAGGCAGGAAGTGAGCAGGTGAGAGCAGGGAGGAGGGAGGTGGTAGGAGAGGCGAGGGAAGGGTATTAGGGTATGATGGGACCTCCAGGATGGGGGGGGGCTGTCTGCCGGCCAGGCGGCTCAGTAGGAGTGCACACGAGCAGGGGGTAAGGACAGAAGAGGAAAGATGGCGGGAGGAGGGCTTCGAGGGAGTTGAAAGTTTAGGGGGTAGGCGCGGGGGCCAGGGTTTAGGGAGAGCTTGCGGAGAGCTCAGGGGACCAGAGAGAGGAGGGACGAAGAGGAAGGAAGGGAGCATGGACGGTGGGAGGAAGGAAGAAGGGGGATGCAGGAGCAGAGGCGAGAGGTCCTCCTCCGCCCCCTCCTCCTCCTCCTCCTCCTCCTCCTCCTCCGCCCCATCCTCCTCCTCGAAGAGGTGCTCAGAGGAGGGAGGGAAGAAAGAAACAAGAAAGCACGAGGGAGAAGGAAAGGATGAGGGAGGGACGGATGGATGCGGGAAGATAGGGGGGGCGCGAAGAGCGGTTCTCTCCTTGCGCTGGCTTGCGGTCGGGAACTTTTACCCAACGTGTCGCGGCGACGGCCCCGGCGACACGCTATGCCCTGCAAGCGGATAGCGTGTCGCTCCGCTCCGCGGGGCGGGAAGCCAGGCAAGGCTTTGGACGTTGCTGCTTTGAAGCCTGGGCGTGGACAGCGTGTCGCGCCGAAGCGTTGTGGACAGAAACATGCGGCGCGACACGCTAAGTCGAAGTTCCTGATAGTAGACAAGAAGTAGTGGGCACGTGTTCTCTTCGTCACGGAACACTCCCCTCTGCTCGCACACGAACGGGAAACTCAGCGTGTTGAGATGCCTGCCCCGATGCCAACGCGGCGCGAGGGGGAGGAGAGAAGACGGAGAACAAAGAAACGACAGAAGGGCGTGACAAATGGGAGAGAAAGATGGGTGAGATGAAAAGAGATGGAGGCGTGAGGGATAAAGATGGGAAAAATATAAGGGAACCACTTCTCCACTTCCTGCTATTCCATCTATACATTCTACAGCCTCCGCCTCTCCCCACCACTTCTTCTTAACCCCCTTTCCGTCCCCATTCTACGACCTCCGCAAACCCTCCACCCCTCCATCGTGCATCCTCTTCCTTACTCCCTCCAACCCTCCTCCCTTCTCCCTCTTCCTCCTCCTACTCCTCCCGCTCCTCCTCCTCCTCCTCCTCCTCCTCCTCCTCCTCCTCCTCCTCCTCCTCCTCCTCCTCCTCCTCCTCCTCCTCCTCCTCCTCATCATCATCATCATCATCCTCTTCCGCCTCCCTCCTGACTCCTCCCTCGCCCCTCGTCCTTCCTCTCCCTTGCATCATTAATCCTCCCTCCTCCCTCCGTCCTCCTTCGTCCTCCTCCGCGAGCGCCTCGGAGCGAGCCCGAGGACGGGCCCGCTCGAGTTCATCGTCTGCCCACCTGGCCGCCAGTCGCGGCCCTCAGGGCGCGAACGCCCAGCACACGTGGTCGTCGTAGAATACCAGATGTTTCTCACAACCACCAACATGAAACAGATCCAGACAATCTCCAGATACCACCAATCCTCAGAAGCCAGTGCAGCGAGGACATTCAGGATCACGACCACGTATGTGGCTGCTCGGCCCCAACACCCCCTTCAGCGGCCGAGAGGACTGACACCGTCAACCACCAGAATAGAGCTTTCGCTCACCCGGGGGTGCGGCCAAAAAGGGAACGGGAGGTCGCGCAGGTGCTTGACCTCATACGAGCACGAAAGGGCCCCAACACACCCTCAACGGCCAAGTGTGCTGACACCGCCAGCCACCAGAATAGAGCTTGCGCTCACCCGCTGCAGCGAAGGGTGCGTGGCCAAAGGAGAGGGCCGCCACGATCGCGGCTACGCATGTAGCTGCTCGGCCCCAACACCCCCTCAGCGGCCAAATGTGCTGACGCCGCCGGCCACCAGAAGAGAGCGTTCGCTCATCCGCTGCAACGGAGGTGCTTGACCTCATACGAGCATGAAGAAACCCCAGCACCCCTTAGCGGCCAAGCGGGCTGACACCATCAGCCCGCCAGAAGAGCGCTCGCGCACATCCGCCGCAACGAAGGGGGTGCGGCCATCAAAGAAAGTATCCTCTCGACCAGCTCGCCCCCGAAACTGGATGCCGACCATCGAGGAGACGCTCCAGCTTCTTCACAGTATGCCTGCCGTTGGCCGTGAATGCGCGCAGCCTTTGGCCCCCCTGCGCATCGCTGCAATAATCCTGGCGACCCTGATGATGCTGCACCGAAGAAATCACACCTTCTGCACGCCGTGCACGGACCAGCGTTGAAAAGACAGTGCGAGCTCTTCTCTTCGAACATGTCCTCCACAATGGTAGGTCGAACCCCCGACGCACGACCAGCTCCCAGCATCGCATGGGCCACTGCCTCGAACCTCCTAGCAGGGACCTCCGCCTTACCAACGCAGTCAATCTGGGCTTGGCACTTGAAGCGTCCGAGCTCCGTTGGCACACAAGTTGTCGCCTGCAGGTTGGCCTTCACCTTCTGCCCTTTTCGCGCCCTTGCCACATCGCATGCATCTCATGTAGCCGTCCTTGATCCCCACGAAGCGATGCTGCTGCATGGCCAGCTGCACTGGCGCCCCAAGCTTCCGTGGCTTCGGCGGAAGATCGGGGTCTTTCCAAACCCCTTCCATGACCGTACATTCCATAACACGTGAGAAGTACTGGTTGACCTTCCGACAATGCCTCAGCTCCGCCTGGTAGATGCCCGCCGATACTCTCGAAGCTCTATGTTAGAGCGCTCCTTCCTTGGCGAAGTACTCTGCCCACCAACTGCCATGCCACCATATTGGATGCAGACCAATGTGCAGGTGTTCGTCGATGTCCTTGAGCGCTGGCGTCCAAGCAACTACAGGAGGCCTCTCCTTCACCGTACCGAAAATCTTCCTCCAAATATCAGCATGCTTGCCCGACGAGGCCTCCAACTGCGTCGACCAGCTGTCCACTTCCCACGCTAGACCAACCAGGTCGGACACCACCAGTCGCACGTGCGGGAACAGCTTCAGCTCCTGATGCACGGCGTATCTTTCAGCTCTTCACACTGTCTGTCGCGCCTCTGGGAGCGGCCCATACACTGCCCTAAGCGGCAAACCTTGTTCAGACACCTGCATCGCGGACCAACCGCGCCTGCCTTATTCAGGAGTGGGGGACTCGCACCCAGATCCATCAGTGACGATAGTGTCCGACCATCCTGACGCGTCAGACGCCCAGTCGCCCCAGAGAAAGATTTACGCTTGATTAGCAGGGGGGCGGCGTAGGTAACCCAACCGATGGCCCCAGCGTCTCGCAGTCAGGCTTGCCCAGTCCATTATGGTACCCTTTGTCCTCGAGCCACTTCTGCACCTCTAGCAATTTCTCAGGGGGCTCCAAGCCCTCGCGCTGGCCCACTCCATTCATTACCCCAGGGCACACGTGAAAACGATGTCCTGGAATACCAAATGACTCCTGACACACGTGACGCGGTTCTCCTCGAGCCAGGCCCAATGGATACTTCTGCGACTGCGTCCACGGCGCACCGCTCAACAGTGCTCGAATACAGCCAGCCAAACTAGCCTTGCCAATCGCCGCCTTGGGTCCTGCCACAATGGCCCTCATGGCTCTACGCCATACTGGCGCGCCAATGCTAGTGCCCACGTCGTGGTGGCATAATGCCCCTTTGTGCTGCCATCGTTCAAGTCCTTCTCGAAGTAGCCGCTTCAGTTCCTGCGGGCATGCAGCAAGCAACGATAGCTTTGCCCTCTCACCTGTTTGCAGTATCGTCGAAGAGAGCATGCTCCAGCCAATCCGATTTAGACTACACCAACCACCAGCAACTAGCCCTTTAACCATAAACCATGCAATCATAATTCCTGGCCGTCCTATGAACCAAGCATGCATCACCTACCAAACCCTCTCAAGTTTAGTCCAAGAATATCTCTGCTCCCAGATCGATCCAGCGTATCGCGTCACCACATCCACCGTGGCCGTGAAGATCGGATCGTAGTACCTGTTCTTTTGCGTGGCTAAATACGCTGTCAGCGAAGCTCCCTGCATCCCAGCACCTGCCAGGTTATCAGCGAAACGCCGTAGCTGCTGCAAGCGCTGATCGCTGACTCTTGAAACTCCCGGTCCATGAGCCGCTCCCGGCAGCGCACCTGCGTTCCACAGCGCAGCGATTCTGCCGCCAACCGCCCCGCGCAGTCGCATGGGCCTGGTTGTCCTGGCCACCATGCCCTGCATCCTGATCTTAAACTGCGCCCTCGCGCGCTTGCCCCCACATGATTCATGACCAAGATTGCGAATCCAATGTACGCGCTAGATGCCCAATCTTCCTGCCCGACCTTTGCACTTCCTGGCCACCTGATGGGGAGACCCCGCAAAACCTGACTTGCCCGTTTCAGCCATCAGGCCCAACTTGAGCGACTTCCGTTTGAAAACCTGCACCGTGTTCCAGATCTTGTCGCCGCCTGCCTGGATATATCCCGTCCACTGCACCGTCCCCAGGATGCTCTCCCCCAGGATGCCCAAGAGCATCCTGCAAGCACGAAGAACACTAGGGGGGTATACCCTCGCCGAACCGACCCAGGTCTTATACCTCTCGGCCCGACGGTGTGAGGAGCCTCTGGGGCCTTCCGAGGAGTCCCCTGCCCTTTCTACGAAGCCTGGGCGCGGCCAGCCAAAGCGGCCAAGGATGGCCCGAAAGGGAAGGATGCCGGGACTACCTGGGAGGGCTGCCTCTGTTTTGGACGCCCGAAATGGGTACCGAAAAAATGGGCACAATGCCCAACAGCAAATGTTGTCCCAAACCAACAGCGGCCGCTGTTGGGCGGGCGGCCTCCTGTCTCGAATGGACACAGGCCGCGGCGGCGCGGACAGCGAGTCCTGTTCAGAATGAACAGGAACTGATGTTGGGCATTGTACCCATCCTTTCCGTACCCATTCCGTTCGTGCCGATCTGTGCGCAGGCCCGGGGCCTGACCACCATCGGCCGCACGTTTCCTCGGCGAGAGCTCGCCTCAGCGGAAGTAGGGGGCAAACAAACCTACCTCGCTTTTGACCACCCTCGCTTCCAAGAGATACCAAGCGATGCCAAACTACGGCCTGTACTGGTCAGGCTGCTTGACGAGGAGGCGCGTGGTATGACTTGGTTTTGCCTGGAAGCGAAAGCGGGGTAGGTAATTCACGCTCAGCGGAAGAGCTGGTCGCAGAGCGGAAGGTGCTGCAGGCGAGCAGGGGCGAGGGACGGCAGCGGGCGGGAGGCGGCAGGCAGGACTCCCCACGTGTCCACGGGCCCGTCGCCCCCGCGCGCGGAAACCCGAGCCTGGCATCGCCCCAGCCCTCCTCCCTCCCCTGCTTCCCTCCTCCTCCTCCTCCTCCTTCTACTTCTCCTCCTCCTCCTCCTCCACCTCCTTCCCCCCCCCCTCTTCCTGCCTCCCTGCCCTCTTCGCCCTCCCCCTCGCCGCTCTCCTGCTGCTGATCCGAAGCACGGGCGGCCGACCCCGCGCTCCCTCCGCTCCAGCGACCCGCCCGCCGTCGGCGGGGCGGGCTGCAGTCTCAACACGCAGTCGGAAAAGGATGCACGCTGAGGGTGCAAAGGGCCTTGGACGACGCCGACGACGACGACCACGACAACGTCGTCGACGACGACGACGAGGACGCGACGACGACGACAACGACAACGACAACATCGGCGACGACGACGACGACGAACGAGCCCTGGTGGGATGTGATTGAAGCTAGGTCGGGCCCTATTAGGATTCTAGTATAGCTGAATCGAGCCCTCGTAGGTTCCGATTATAAACAAGCCGTATGATAAGGACGCACGATGAGGTTGGAAAGGGCCTTGGAAGGCCACGTCGACACCCTTTGAGCGGGGCACGCGGCCAGCGAGAGTGGCCAAAAGGATGGGCCGAAGAAGGAGGATGCAAAAGATAATTATTGGAAAGGCGCTCACCCTTAATATCCGTGTTAAACCCGTATCACGAGGATGCGCGGTAAGGATGCAAGGGCCTTTGGAGGGCCATGTTGGCGTTTGTTGAAAGAGGCTGGCAAGCGAACGTCGCTAAGGAGCGACCAGCAAGGGCAAGGATGCAAGGGCACCTTTGGGAAGGTCGCCCATCCTTACTATTCGGGTTTCGGGTTGACTGCATCGGGCCCCTACCGGCGATCAATGGGCTGACCGGGGGTCGACGCCTCGCCTTCCATGAGCAAATCCCCCCCTCCAACGCTGCCCCTGAGCTTCCGGAACACACCTCGGCCCACCGGGAGCGGCCAAGAGAGGGGTGTCCAAGAGGGGGGGTGCAAATCATGACCGGCGGCACGTGCGCGGCCCAGCGGGGGGGCCGGGGGCGTAATGAAACACGAAGAGGCGCCATGGAATCTGGGAAACATCATGGCCCCCGCCATGATATCCACCTCCCCCTAGTCTGACCTTCCAGGAGGGTTAAAAAATAGCACCCGACCTAAAAACCTATCCCAGAGCTATTCTACGTCTTGGTTTTAGGCTGTTTCGTTTAGTTTTTTAGGTTTTTAGGTCTCCAGTGCTAAAAAATGGCTCTCTGGAAGGTCAGGGTTGCCGCCCCCGAGCCCACCGGCGGGCCAGCGGCCGTTCGGGACGATCCGGGCACGCCCAGAACGGTCTCGGCGAGGCGCAGATGCTGGAAGGCATCCCAAGGCTGGAAAGCCGCAGGGACACGACAGAACCGTCCGAAAACCCCTGGCGACCGACGAAGACCTCTGAGCACACGCCCCCTTAGCGCTGCCCCCAGTATGTGGGGCGGGCGCCAACACCGGTGGCGATGCGAAGACCTGTTTTCTTTTCTTCTGAATGTGCTGTCCCAGGGCTGAGACTTCATCGTGTGTCTTCCCGAATTTCCTGTTCTTTTCTTTTGAATGTCCTGTTTTCTGTTCTTTTGAATGTGTGTCTTCCCGACCCTTCCCCCAGGACTGGGTCTTCATCCTGAGCAGCTTGCTCGACAGCCCCAGGGCCCGGGAAGGGCCCCCAAAGCGGCCAAAAGACGTCCCGCCCTGCTTGTTTCTCGACAAGGGCATGTCTGAGCTGCTACCTCTCCTCTGAGCAGGGACCGACCGTGCCGGCATCCCTACAGGCCAACAATGCAATTCTCTGTGGACAAAAGACTGTTCTAAGTACGAATACAATATGCCGATACAAAACAGCAGGTTGATTGAATGCAGACGGCCTCGGCCAGAAATGTTCCGAGAAGATCTCGTACAAACCGCAAGAGGTTCTTAGGACTTTCTCTGGTGGGTCTATAAGACAGGCCTCCTGGATGGGGTCGGGGTAGATGGGGTTGGAGTATATGGGGTCGGAGGATCGCGCCGCACCGCCGATACATCGGCGATGCGTCGGCGACGCCAGCGTGGACCAAACATCGGCCTCCACATCGAGCCGCATCGCCGATGCATCCCACGACACGGCGCGATCCTCCGACCCCATCTGCTCGGACCTCCAGGAGGCCTGGGCCAGAAGCAGGTCGGGATGCCTCGCCACTGCTTGACACAGGGGCAACGCTAGCGGGGGTCTGGCTCAGGAAAGGGGGGGGGGGCGGACGTCGCCCTGGAATCGGCGACACATCGCCGATGGATCGGCGACAGGCCCTCGACAGCGGGGCGGCTTGGGGGCCATCGGACCCCTGCCTGTGCGCCCCCAGACCTCCTCGGGGAGTAGCGGCATCGGTACCCCTTCGTCCCCCCACGATGCCAATCTTATCTGCCTCGATCCCCGACCCCCTCGCGCTGTGAAAAGAAATCACGACAGGAGCTGTTGTTCCCTATTTTCGGCCTCCCGGGGCCCGTACCGGGCCGCGGGACCGTCAAAAAACTACTCGGGACGAGAGACGGGTCCTGGGGAAAGGGTCCCGACCTCTGGGGGCGCGCCCCCCATCCCGAGGCCGACGGCAAGTCCAGCCCGAGCCCGAGCCCGCAGAGGACGTAAACGCCCAACCAGCAGGAGCGAAGGAAGGACGTACACCGAGATAGCCCCGGACTGCTCGGGGAACCTGTTGAGACCAGTTGGGACTACCCGAAGGGTCTGCTGAAGCCAGCTGGAACTACCTGGGGGGGGGTCTACCTGCACGCAGCCCGAAGCCTTACACATCGTGTGCCTCTCCTGCGCCTCATGGTCTGAAGCAGCCGCTCAACAACGCCCATGAGATGCTCCGCAGTAATGATGCAGACTTCCCGCCCCACATCACGAGCGCGATGTCGACCCAGGGTCTCTCGGAGGCGTTCGGGTACCTTCTGATCTGAGAGCCCTGCTACACCTCACAGCACAAGCAGACGCCGACGCCGCAGAAGATCCAGACCCTCTTGCGTCGTGAGAACAAATCACAAACATCTGTTGGCAGTTTTCGGCCTCTGGGGGCCTTCGCTGGGCCTTGGGCCTGTCGGGATGAAACCGGGCCCCCGGGAAAGGGGTCCAGATCTCTGGGGCTCCACTCTGTGAGAAAAAACATGGCGTTTGGGGTCTTGGGGGCTGGAGGATGAGGATGACAAGAGGACTGCGAGAAAAGGACAAGGAGACGGTATGAGGAGAGGCTCACGGGTTCATGGAGGATCCATGACATATATATATATATATATATAGTAGAACGAAGACGGATATAAGCATAAAAGCTCGGAGGTCCGCGCGGATTCCTCGGATCGGCGCTGGATCCCCCTCCCCGGCGCGCGGAGCGCGCCAGGGGCAGCGCCGGACGCGCCGCCAGGGCCCAGCGCGGATCCAAGAAATCCTCGCGGAGCGACAACAGTGTGTTTACAGCATTTGTTCCTCTTAGATCATGGGTTCATGGAGGATCCATGACGAACATCAGCCTCCGGCGCCGCCTTTTGAGCAAGAGCGGTTGCAGAACTCGCAGCCCCACCTTGCGTGACAGCATATTAAGAGGGCCGCGGAAGTCCCAGGCCTCCTAGAGGCGCTAGACAGCTGTGGAATTTGGAACGACGAAGTGTCCCTGTTACAAGAAGATGTTGGATTTGGAAGAAAAAATACCCTGTGACGTACCCAACCCAATTGTATCAATGGAAACGACGGGTTGGCCGGAACTTGTATGGACAATCAACTTGATGTGTAAGCTATTTGCGAGGCGTCACTGTGCTGGGCCCCGCAAGCAGGCCTCGAAAGTGGCGACAGTTTCACAGATCGCAGCCCCCCAGGGATGGCGAGGTCTAGTTTGAATCTGCGTGTGGCGTCACTGTGCTGGGCCCCCCAGCAGGCCTCGAAAGTGGCGACAGTTTCACAGATCGCAGCCCCCCAGGGATGGCGAGGTCAAATTTGAATCTGCGGTGGGTACCCAGTGTGCTGGGCCCCCCCAGCAGGCCTCGAAAGTGGCGACAGTTTCACTGATCGCAGCCCCCCAGGGATGGCGAGGTCCCATTTGAATCCGCGGTGGGTACCCACTGTGCTGGGCCCCCCAGCAGGCCTCGAAAGTGGCGACAGTTTCACTGATCGCAGCCCCCCAGGGATGGCGAGGTCCCATTTGAGTCCGCCGTGGGTACCCACTGTGCTGGACCCCGCATGCAGGCCTCGAAAATGGCGACAGTTTCACAGATCGCAGCCCCCCAGGGATGGCGAGGTCCCATTTGAATCCGCCGTGGGTACCCACTGTGCTGGGCCCCCCAGCAGGCCTCGGAAGTGGCGACAGCTTCACAGATCGCAGCCCCCCAGGGATGGCGAGGTCTACTTTGAATCTGCGGTGGGTGACAATTTCACAGACCGCAGCCCCCCAGGGATGGCGAGGTCTAGTTTGAATCTGCAGTGGGTACCCTCTGTGCTGGGCCCCTCAGCAGCCCTCGAAAGTGGCGACAGTTTCGCAGATCGCAACCCTCCAGGGACGGCGAGGTCTAATTTAAATCTGCGGTTGGTACCCACTGTGCTGGGCCCCCCAGCAGGCCTCGAAAGTGGCGACAGTTTCACAGATCGCACCCCCCCAGGGATGGCGAGGTCTAGTTTGAATCTGCGGTTGGTACGCACTGTGCTGGCCCCCCCAGCAGGCCACGAAAGTGGCGACAGTTTCACAGATCGCAGCCCCCCAGGGATGGCGAGGTCACATTTGAGTCCGCCGTGGGTACCCACTGTGCTGGGCCCCCCAGCAGGCCTCGAAAGTGGCGACAGTTTCACTGATCGCAGCCCCCCAGGGATGGCGAGGTTACATTTGAGTCCGCCGTGGGTACCCACTGTGCTGGGCCCCATCAGCAGCCCTCGAAACTGGCGACAGTTATACAGATCGCAGCCCCCCAGGGACGGCGAGGTCTAAGTTAAATCTGCGGTGGGTACCCACTGTGTTGGGCCCCTCGGCAACCCTCGAAAGTGGCGACAGTTTCACAGATCGCAGCCCCCAAAGGATGGCGAGGCGTAATTTGAATATGCAGTGGGTACCCACTGTGCTGGGCCCCCCAGCAGGCCGCGAACGTGGCGCCAGTTTCGCAGATCGCAGCCCCCCAGGGATGGCGAGGTGACATTTGAGCCCGCAGTGGGTACCCACTGCGCTGGGCCCCCCAGCAGGCCTCGAAAGTGGCGACAGTTTCACAGATCGCAGCCCCCCAGGGATGGCGAGGTCACATTTGAATCCGCCGTGGGTACCCACTGTGCTGGGCCCCCCAGCAGGCCTCGAAAGTGGCGACAGTTTCACTGATCGCAGCCCCCAAGGGACGGCGAGGTCCCATTTGAATCCGCAGTGGGTGCCCACTGTGCTGGGCCCCCCAGCAGGCCTCGAAAGTGACAACAATTTCACAGATCGCAGCCCCCCAGGGATGCCGAGGTACCATTTGAGTCAGCCGTGGGTACTCACTGTGCTGGGCCCCCCAGCAGCCCTCGAAAGTGACGACAGTTTCACAGATCGCAGCCCCCCCAGGGATGGCGAGGTCACATTTGAATCCGCCGTGGGTACCCACTGTGCTGGGCCCCCCCCCAGCAGGCCTCGAAAGTGGCGACAGTGTCACAGATCGCAGCCCCCCCCCCCAGGGATGGCGAGGTCACAGTTGAGTCCGCCGTGGGTACCCACTGTGCTGGGCCCCCCCAGCAGGCCTCGAAAGTGGCGACAGTTTCACATATCGCAACCCCCAAGGATGGCGAGGTCCCAGTTGAGTCCGCCGTGGGTGCCCACTGCGCTGGGCCCCCCAGCAGGCCGCGAAAGTGGCGACAGTTTCACAGATCGCAGCCCCCCAAGGGTGGCGAGGTGCAATTTCAATCCGCCATGTGTACCCACTGTGCTGGGCCCCCCAACAGGCCTCGAAAGTGGCGACAGTTTCACAGATCGCAGCCCCCCAGGGATGGCGAGGTGCAATTTCAATCCGCCGTGTGTACCAACTGTGCTGGACCCCGCAAGCAGGCCTCGGAAGTGGCGACAGTTTCACAGATCGCAGCCCCCCAGGGATGGCGAGGTACCATTTGAGTCCGCCGTGGGTACCCACTGTGCTGGGCCCCCCCCTGCAGGCCTCGAAAGTGGCGACAGCTTCACAGCTTCACAGATCGCAGCCCCCCAGGGATGGCGAAGTCTACTTTGAACCTACGGTGGGTGGCAGTTTCACAGATCGCAGCCCCCCAGGGACGGCGAGGTCTAATTTGAATCGGCAGTGGGTATCCACTGCGCTGGGCCCCTCAGCAGCCCTCGAAAGTGGCGACAGTGTTACAGATCGCAGCCCCCCAGGGATGGCGATGTCTAATTTAAATCTGCGGTTGGTACCCACTGTGCTGGGCCCCTCAGCAGGCCTCGAAAGTGGCGACAGTTTCACAGATCGCAGCCCCCCAGAGATGGCGAGGTCAAATTTGAATCTGCGGTTGGTGCCCACTGTGCTGGGCCCCCCAGCAGGCCGCGAAAGTGGCGACAGTTTCACAGATCGCAGCCCCCCAGGGATGGCGAGGTCCCATTTGAGTCCGCCGTGGGTACCCACTGTGCTGGGCCCCCCCAGCAGGCCTCGAAAGTGGCGACAGTTTCACAAATCGCAGCCCCCCAGGGATGGCGAGGTCACATTTGAGTCCGCCGTGGGTACCCACTGTGCTGGGCCCCCCAGCAGCCCTCGAAAGTGGCGACAGTTTCACAGATCGCAGCCCCCCAGGGACGGCGAGGTCTAATTTAAACCTGATGTGGGTACCCACTGTGCTGGGCACCCCAGCAACCCTCGAAAGCGGCGGCAGTTTCACAGATCGCAGCCCCCCAGGGACGGCGAGGTCTAATTTGAATCTGCGGTGGGTACCCACTGTGCTGGGCCCCCCAGCAGGCCTCGAAAGTGGCGACAGTTTCACAGATCGCAGCCCCCCAGGGATGGCGAGGTGAATTTCAATCCGCCGTGTGCCCACTGTGCTGGCCCCCAGCAGCCCTCGAAAGTGGCGAGGTTTCACAGATCGCAGCCCCCCAGGGATGGCGAGGTCTCATTTGAGTCCGCCGTGGGTACCCACTGTGCTGGGCCCCCCAGCAGGCCTCGAAAGTGGCGACAGTTTCACAGATCGCAGCCCCCCAGGGATGGCGAGGTCCCATTTGAATCCGCCGTGGGTGCCCACTGTGCTGGGCCCCCCAGCAGGCCTCGAAAGTGGCGACAGTTTCACAGATCGCAGCCCCCCAGGGATGGCGAGGTCCATTTGAATCTGCCGTGGGTACCCACTGTGCTGGGCCCCCCAGCAGGCCTCGAAAGTGGCGACAGTTTCACAGATCGCAGCCCCCCAGGGATGGCGAGGTGCAATTTCAATCCGCCGTGTGTGCCCACTGTGCTGGCCCCCCGAGCAGCCCTCGAAAGTGACGACGGTTTCACAGATCGCAGCCCCCCAAGGATGGCGAGGTCACATTTGAGTCCGCCGTGGGTACCCACTGTGCTGGGCCCCCCCAGCAGGCCTCGAAAGTGGCGACAGTGTCACAGATCGCAGCCCAGCCCCCCAAGGGATGGCGAGGTCCATTTGAGTCCGCCGTGGGTGCCCACTGTGCTGGGCACCCCCCAGCAGGCCTCGAAAGTGGCGACAGTTTCACAGATCGCAGCCCCCCAGGGATGGCGAGGTACCATTTGAGTCCGCCGTGGGTACCCACTGTGCTGGGCCCCCCCCTGCAGGCCTCGAAAGTGGCGACAGCTTCACAGCTTCACAGATCGCAGCCCCCCAGGGATGGCGAGGTCACATTTGAATCCGCCGTGGGTACCCGCTGTGCTGGGCCCCCCAGGCGGCCTCGAAAGTGGCGACAGTTTCACAGATCGCAGCCCCCCAGGGATGGCGAGGTGCAATTTCAATCCGCCGTGTGTGCCCACTGTGCTGG